CAGGAACCGTGGATTAGTGCCCGTGGCCAAATAAATGGACTCTCACACCTGAGAGGTAAGCTACTATCGACTACCATCTCAGATAAACCTAGAACTTGCATATATTACTCGAATAACTTACATGTACAGCCACTAACTGAATTCTGTTCCAGAGACCTGTGTGCCGTAAAGCTTTTAGCAGACGCGGCCACGGGTCTGCCTGAAGTGGTGCTCGCCTCTGTCTATATGGCGGAGACTGATGTGCCACCACCGCAGGAAATGGTTCAGCTAATCAACTACTGCGAGCAGAACGGCCAGAATATCGTCGTGGCTACTGACTCCAATGCCCACCATCCGTTGTGGGGCATGGATCTCGCAAATGATAGAGGTAAGAACCTAACAGAATACTTATTCACAACTAACCTTCAAATCCTTAATAAAGGTATAGTACCAACTTTTATAAATAAAAGATGTAGAACTATTATAGACCTAACCCTAGCGTCAGAAGGAGCAGTGGGCCTTATCCACAACTGGCACGTGTCCGAAGAAGCATCCTTCTCGGACCACAGATGGATAAGATTCAGCTTAGAAACAGCCATTAAAGAACAACAACCGAAACGGAATCCCAGAAAAACCGATCGTAAACTATACACGGACAAACTACACCAGAACCTGGGTGAACCGGGAGCACCGGGAAGACTACTGGGCACAGCACAGATAGAAACACAGGTTAAAGAACTAACATCAAACATATTGAACAGCTATAACTCCGCATGCCCACTGAGTGACGCAGCCCCGCGACAAGGCCAGCACTGGTGGGGGCCTGAGCTTGAGAGGCTACGAAGAAGGGTAAGGAGACAGTTCAATAGAGCAATGAACACATGCGCGGATGAGGATTGGGAAAACTACAAGACGGCCAAATCCAAACTAAAAAAGCGCATACGGTTCAGGAGCTCCGCGTCATGGCGAGGCTACTGCGGGAACATCACGTCTAGCGCACAAGCAAACAGAATAAGGAAAATCCTAGGCAACTCACATTCAACTGAGCTAGGTTCAATACGCAAAATAGATAACACATACACAACCTCCCCTGCGGAAACGGAAAGAACCCTACTGGAAGTACATTTCCCAGGATGTAGGTTCGTCCAAGACGACAGGTGTGTAGAAATGAACTACACTACATCGATCCATAACTGGCGATACGCAGAACAAGTAGTGACATACGAAAAGACAAAATGGGCAGTAAACACCTTTGAACCATACAAAGCTCCGGGCCAAGATGGAGTATTCCCTGCACTCCTACAATGGGGCGGGGACACACTGGTCCAGCACCTAGTCAACATCTTTCGGGCCTGTCTAGCATTCAGCTATGTGCCCCACAGCTGGCGAGAGGTAAAAGTCATATTTATACCGAAACCAGGAAAACCCGACTACACTGACGCGAAGTCCTTCAGACCTATTAGCCTCACATCATTCTTCTTGAAGACATTAGAAAGGATATGTGACAGAGAACTGAGGGATGGAGCACTTAAGAACATTCCATTACATGGTAACCAACATGCATACAGCCAAGGCAAATCCACTGAATCGGCCCTACACGCCGTTGTGGGCAAGATAGAAGTGGCCCTTAAAGACAAAGCAATCTGCCTAGGCACCTTTATAGATATTGAAGGAGCCTTCGATAAAACGAACTTCTCCAGCATACAATCAGCAATGAGAAGACACAACTTAGATGAAGTGCTAATTAGCTAGATTAGCAACATGCTGAAACAAAGAACAATAAAAACAACAGCAAATGAGACCCCATGGGCCATAGTAGCGAAGGGGTGCCCTCAAGGAGGGGTATTGTCGCCTCTGCTGTGGAACATGGTCGTAAATGACCTTATCATTAAACTCAACAAAGAACATTTCTATACAATAGGATATGCTGATGACATAGCTATACTGGTAACAGGAAACTATGCCAATACACTCTGCGACATTACACAAGCGGCTCTCCGAATTGTGGAAAGATGGTGCAGAGCATATGAACTATCGGTAAATCCAACAAAGACGGAACTAGTAATGTTTACCAACAAACGACTACTAGGTAACTACCGATTACCCAAACTCTTCAGCACAGAACTACAGATATCAACCGAAGTCGAGTACTTGGGAGTAATACTGGACAACAAGTTGAACTGGAACAAACATATGGACAACAAAATTAAAAAAGCCTTTCACCTTCTGGCAGTGCCATAGAATGGTGGGTAAACAATAGGGACTTTCACCCAAGATTACACTATAGCTCTACACTGCGGTGATAAGACCCATGATCAGTTACGGCGCGATAGTATGGTGGCCACGAACCAAGCTGACGACCGCAACCGACAAACTGGACAAATTCCAAAGACTAGCGTGCATGGCGACGACGGGCTGCATGAGGACAACTCCAACTGCGGCCCTCGAAGCGATGCTGGACCTTCGACCCCTCCCACTGTTCATCAGACAGGAAGCGGCGTCAACAGCAGTGCGTCTAAACAGAGTCGGCCTCTGGAAGCACATGAGGACCCCACATACAGAAATCCTCTACAAGTCTGTCAATGAGGAACCGCTACTGGAGGCGGTTGTGGATAGGATCCCAAAACAATACATCTTTGACAAGAAATATAAGATACAATTATTTGAAGATCCCAACGAAGGACTGAACCCCAGAGAGGTCCGAGTCTTCACCGACGGATCTAAAACAAACTCAGGAACAGGTACTGGGGTATTCTCAGAAGACCTCAATATCAGGATATCAGCACCGCTTGGTGACCACAACACAGTATTCCAGGCTGAATGCATGGGCATCAAGTTGGCAGCAGAAGCAATCATAGCGAGAAGAGTAAAGAACTACTCCATTCGAATACTCTCCGACAGTATGTCAGTACTTCAAGCACTGAATAGCTATGACATAAACTCAGGGCTCATTTACGAATGCCATCAAGCACTCATGGAGGTATGTATACAAAACCACGTAACTCTTCAGTGGATTAAAGGACACAGCGGCTTACGTGATGCAGCAGATGAACTAGCCAGGAAAGGGTCGGAGACGGACGCTGTAGGACCAGAACCGATAGTGTCCCTCCCCTCCCAATGGTCCAGAACAACTATACACAAAGGTACAAAATCTTCACATAATAATACATGGACCACCCTTACGGT